GTAATCTTACCGCTGGCCCACCTGTGGCAAAATTTTATATATCTGTTTTGTCATTAAACGTAAAGCTACACAATGGGCTACCGAAATTGTGTCCTCGAGCTTACTGCACACGCTTGAAATCCTTGATACTTAATAACCCAAATAATCCTGTGGTTATGATCCGCCCGCTCTCGTTATACACTCTTCGTTATCAATTTTCGTGTTGTTTTGATTGACAGCGTCCAATCAGAACTGTCGGCGTAGCTGAGTTTGCGCAGATCTATCGTTTTGTTTTCTTGATGTTTATTTATGAAATGGAGGATCATTCAGTTGAAACGATAAAAAGTATTATCAAGCAAGAGTATGTAAAGGAAGAATTTATCTAAGTTCATAATATTCTCCATTTAACCAGTTTTTTAATAACTTCCAAACATGGCGACAGACTCTTATTGGATTTTTCAATGAATCCACCTAGATCAGTAGCAACACCTGGTGTTTTCGGCTCTCGGGGTAAAACGACAGTCGATTGAACTTGAAAACTCACAGAAAATGAATAGAGATCGTTCTGTATAGTACATTGCTTACTATCGTTTTTGTATATTTATTGAATTTCGCACACAGATACTCGAGTTTTATCCCTACTAGCCGTCTCTAATATTGAAGTGATAAACTAGAGGGAAGACAGCTTGTCATTACCACCTACCACCAGCTCTTGAGCTAGTCTTTACCAACAAATAGTGGGACTGACCGTCACATTATAAAGCCACCCGGGCTGAAAGGGTGAAATGGTTTGATCCCACTAACCGTAATTTTCGAGACTACACTTATGTTTTGTATGATGTTGCCTTATCGTTAGCGTGGTTTCACACCATTGATTAGGTTATATGATGTTGCCTTATCGTTAACGTGGCTTCACACCATTGATTAGGATTAGACTCGGAGAGTATGAGTTTTATATGATGTTCCCTTATCGTTAGCGTAGCTTCACACCATTGTTTAGGATTAGACTCGGAGAGTATGAGTTTTATATGATGTTCCTTATCGTTAGCGTGGCTTCACACCATTGATTAGGATTAGACTCGGAGAGTATGAGTTTTATATGATGTTGCCTTATCGTTAGCGTGGCTTCACACCATTGTTTAGGATTAGACTCGGAGAGTATGAGTTTTATATGATGTTGCCTTATCGTTAGCGTGGCTTCACACCATTGATTAGGATTAGACTCGGAGAGTATGAGTTTTATATGATGTTGCCTTATCCTCATACTCTCCGAGTCTAATCCTAATCAATAGTGTGAAGCCACGCTAACGGTAAGGCAACATCATATAACCTAATCAATGGCGTGAAGCCACGCTAACGATAAGGCAACATCATACAAAACTCATACTCTCTGAGTCTAATCCTAAACAATCGTGTGAAGCCACGCTAACGATAAGGCAACATCATATAACCTAAGCAATGGTGTGAAGCCACGCTAACGATAAGGCAACATCATATAACCTAAACAATGGTGTGGAGCCACGCTAACTCATATAAAACTCATACTCTCCAAGTCTAATCCTAAACAATGGTGTGAAGCCACGCTAACGATAAGGCAACGTCATAAAAAACTCATACTCTCCGAGTCTAATCCTAAACAATGGTGTGAAGCCACGCGAACGATAAGGCAACATCATATAACCTAAACAATGGTGTGAAGCCACGCTAACGATAAGGCAACATCATATAACCTAATCAATGGTGTGAAGCCACGCTAACGATAAGGCAACATCATATAAAACCTAATCAATGGTGTGAAGCCACGCTAACGATAAGGCAACATAATATGATGTTGCCTTATCGTTAGCGTAGCTTCACACCATTGTTTAGGATTAGACTCGGAGAGTATGAGATAAACCTTCTTTTTGATTTTATTATTATTTAGGTATTGGATTTAGCCAGTTGATCTCGTCAGTCTACTTGACTATCTACACATCGTACTTCATGTCTGCTTCTCTACTTTATCTCGTTGCTTCCATCTGGAGCCCTCTACCGTGGACTTCAAACACAACCAGCTGTAATAATGTAAGATGTGGCGATGTTTATCAATTCTTACACCGGGACACTGTTAGTTGAACTAATGTAAGAAATAACTTGAGTTGTGCTTTTCTATGATGCACTTAACCTTAGCTAAGACTTTCCACCTCAAGTTTATGCGATATTTAATTCAACTATTTAAACGTCCCTTTTCTTACAGAGCTTTCCTTGTGATTTGGTTGAAGATTTACAAGAAGCAAACTCTTCAGTCAAGTCTTACTGGAAGTAAGTATAACCACTCTTATAATGTTAACACGCCAGAGTAAGATTATAGTTCTATGAAACTTATGTAATGGTAATATGGCAGCAAGGTCTTGAAACTGGGGAGATTCTAATAAATCTAATGTAATGGTAATATGGTAGAAAGGTCTTGAAACTGGGGAGATTCTAATAAAACTAATGTAATGGTAATGTGGTAGAAAGGTCTTGAAACTGGAGATAGTCTAATAAAAACTAATGTAATGGTTATGTGGTAGAAAGGTCTTGAAACTGGGGAGATTCTAATAAAACTAATGTAATGGTAATATGGTAGAAAGGTCTTGAAACTGGAGATAGTCTAATAAAAACTAATGTAATGGTTATGTGGTAGAAAGGTCTTGAAACTAGAGAGATTCTAGTAAAACTAAT